CCTGCGCCCTCTCCAGGCGAATGCGGGACCAGCCCCCAGGTGGGCAACTGAGGCACCAGTGGAGGCGGAGCCGGCCCCCGCGGAAAGGCTGGAGAAAAAGGGCCCAGTGAGGCCCAGTGCCAGCCTGGTGGGCGAGGCTGCACTAGGAGAGGGTCGGAGCCCTTCCAGTTCTTAAGAGGCCGTGAGCAATGCCGCCTTAAAATGAAGAGCAGACCTGCCCACGACGGCTGGCACATTGGAGCTGATTACCTTACAGGGTTGACAGATGAAAGTATTTGCTAGCCCAAACGGTTTGGCTCAGTGGATAGAGTGTCGGCCTGCGGACTGAAGAGTCCTGGGTTCAATTCCGGTCAAGGGCATGTGCCTTGGTTGCGGGTACATCCCCAGTCGGGAGCGTGCAGGAGGCAGCTGATGGATGATTCTAACGCTCTACCCCTCTCCCTTACTCTCTGTAAAAAATCAATAAAAAAATATATCTTTTTTTAAAAAAGAAAGTATTTGCTAAATTTGGCAACTCTTCAGACTCCGAGTTCGGGGTGGGAGGAAGTATCCTGTGAAAACCAAGAAATGGGGGGGACCCTAGCTCGCAGGTGCACTTTGAGCTCAAATGGGGTTTGTGCGTAGGGTGGGGTGTTTTCTAAACTGACCGCCAGCATCTGAACCTGAAGCTCTGGAGAAAGGACTGGAGCCTTCTGGAGCCCACTTCAAAGGGGAAGGCACATGGCTGCAATTAGGAGAAGCTGGGCAATAGAGACATGGGACCTCCCTATACTATTTTTTAATAGGTTTTCTTTTTTTTTTAAATATATTTTATTGATTTTTTACAGAGAGGAAGGGAGAGAGATAGAGAGAAACATCGATGAGAGAGAAACATCGATCAGCTGCCTCCTGCACATCTCCCACTGGGGATGTGCCCGAAACCCAGGTACATGCCCTTGACCGGAATCGAACCTGGGACTTTTCAGTCCGCAGGCCGACGCTCTATCCACTGAGCCAAACCGGTTTCGGCTTAATAGATTTTCTTTTAAAAAATATGTTTTTATTTATTTCAGAGATGAAGGGAGAGGGAGAGAGAGAGAAACATAAATGATGAGCTCTAGCCCGTTCTAGTGTCAACCTATGAACCAGGAGGTC